GGGAAACGAGTACATTCCAACCGCAAGTTGCCTGCAATAGCGGTCGTCCAATAATGGATGCAACTAATGAAGACATTTTAGAAATCATTGAAGAAGTCCCTGGAACAAGTACAAGGGTAATAGCTGCTAAACTAAATGTCCCTCACGTAAGAGTTTGGAGGCGTTTGAAGGAGCAGCTGCTTAAACCCTATCACTTAACAACGTTTCAAGAGTTATTGGTTGAAGATTAACCTAAAAGGATTGTATTTTGCAATTTGTTGTTAATGGAAAACACTTGAAATGTTAATTTTATTAGAAATATTTTGTTTACCAACGAGGCTACCTTCAGTAGAAATGGAATAACAAACCATCATAACGAGCACATTTGGGCCGACGAAAATCCTCACGCCAAAATAACGACTCATCACCAAAGAACTTTCAAAGTTAATGTTTGGGCAGGAATTGTGGATAACAATCTAATAGGTCCAGTATTTCTTCCCAACAATTTAAATGGTGATAATTATTTGCAGTTCTTGGAAACGATATACAAGAGTATTTGGAAGATGTGAATATTGCAATAAGGCAAAATATGTGGTTTCTACAAGATGGCTCTCCACCGCATTACAGTAATGAAGTCCGGGAATACCTTTGAAGGCAGTATCCTGGTCGGTGGAGGGGATGGGGTCGTGACGCACCTATTTCTTGGCCATCTAGAAGTCCAGGTCTTAACCCCATGGACTTTTGCTTTTGGGAGCTTATGAAAGAGAAGGTGTATTCTGTAACAATAGAGGACGAATAACCATTGAGAGTTAGAATAATTAAAGCTACAAATCAATTTCGTCAGAAAAATATGATTTTTCCGCGCATTCGGTTTTCCTTATTAAAACAATACCGAATGTTTATTGAATAAAACGGGGGTCATTTTGAACATGAAGGTGAATGAAAAGGGCTGTAACTTAATAAAAACTGTTTTTTGAAAAAAGTGATGAGGCAAAATTTTTTTAAAAATAATGAGGTAAACTAATGATGCCACAAAATTCATTTGATTTGAACGTACTCAAATTTTTTGGAGGGATTTTGGGCTGTACACCCCACTTAAAAATTTTCTGTGCGCTTATATTTTGTTGTTTCTTTTTTATGAAAAATACTTTTAAAACAAGAAAGTAACGTGTTCATTTTTATTATAAAATATCAAGTAGTTTATGAGATAATGCAAAAAAACAGTTTTTATTTTGTAACTTCAAAGGGCTGTAACTTTTTTTGTGTACACTTTTGCACTAAGTTAAGTAGGATTTATTAAATTTATTTTGTCCCCGGAATGCGTGTTTTAATTTATGACATACCTTTTTGAAATACCCTGTATAACACGTACACCTATTATTGCGCATTGGCGAATTATGTTATCTTATATAGCAGACGTCTATACTTCGCGGCATGACAAGGATAGACCGCAATACTCTGAAAATTTTTTTAGAGAGAGAGAGAGAGAGAGTGAAATAATGTGTGACTCATCGAGTTAACTCGATGGTGTGACTCGTTTGTAAGAACTATCGATATAATATATATTATACAGGGTGTTCCATGATGTGTTTACCATCATATAATTCAGGAATATATGAATATTTTTATTTGCAAATTGGGAAATGTTATTTTTTACCTAAAATACTATCAGTTGACGTCTCATGAGATCTGTGATGTCCTCACGGGCGCTGTGACATCTTTAAAATGGACAAAATTAAATGTTAGGCCAAACGAAAGGCTTTTATCCCAAATTCAATGGTGTACCATAATAAGAGTATTAATGTTAATACACAGGTAATCAAATAGAGGAAATGGGGAAAAGCATTAGTCCCAGACGATATATATATATATATATATAATATATATATATATATATATATATATATATATATATATATATGTATATATATATAGAGGTTCTAACAATGTTGAGTGAAGACAATATAGACGCCACAATGGCTTCAATCAACCTTTATACCAATCTCAAAAAAGCCAAACGATAATAGTTGCTACCAATTCCAATGATCAGTTTATTGAGCAAGGTCCTACAATTCTTCTTAAAGATAATTCACACAAGAATATATAACAAATGTAAAAGAGATATTATCCCCACACAGTTCGGTTTCAGACAAGGATTTGGCACAAGAGAAGCACTTTACAGCTTAATTGTTTTACTTCAGAAATGGATCAGCAAAAAGATGTCTTCTTATGCTTTATAGATTAGCAGAAGGCTTTCGATTGTGTTAATCATTCAGTATTAGTAAGATTGCTCCCGGAACGGTCGATAGTTGAGAATGACCTTAAAATCATAAAGAACCTTTATATGAATCAAGTAGCATCTGTGAGAGTAGGACTGGAATCTACTATATCATATTTCTCAATCGAAAAAGGTGAACGACAGGGTTGTGTTCTGTCACCCTTCCTTTTTAATCTTTACTCTGAAACGATTTTCGATAGAGCCTTAAGTGACACTGAAGATGGAATCAAAAGCAACGGATAGACTATTAGTAATCCTCGCTATGCTAATGATACAATCATAAAAGCTGATAGCTAAGAAGCGCTACAACGACTAATAGATAAAATAAACACTGAAAGGGGATGACTGGGCTTGAAGATTAATATAGACAAGACGAAGGTAATGGTAGTTAGTAGAACACGAAATATGCAATTAAATATAAGAGTAAACAATAAGAACGTTCAAAAGGTCCCCATGTTCAGATATCTCGGTAGTTGGATAACTAAAGATTTAGTCTAATAACTAAAGTCTTAGATCGAATGGGCAGAGAACGAGAATTGCTGCAAATAATAAAAAGAAGAAAAACTGCTTATCTGGGTCATATATTTTGAAATTCCAAATACCAGTCCTTGAAAATTATTATGGAAGGGAAGATAGAAGGAAAACGGGGCAGTAGAAGAAAGAACTACTCATGGCTTAAAATCATAAGGGATTGGACAAACCTCGATGCCCATGCATACTTTAGAGCCACATAAGATCGAGAAGAGTATGCCAGAATTGAGCCAACATCCGCTAATTGGATAGGGCACCATAAGAAGAAGAATGTTAATAAATAAGCAAAATTTTCAATTTAGTGGCACAGTTATCATTTCCAAAGTAACCTGAAAGCATACTCCTGCAAAGAAATAATGAAATGAGTCATACGCGTGATATCGTATAATTAAGTTATCTTTATGAGTTTTACAAAGAAGTGTATCAGTAGCGGAGAATTTTTTAGTAGATACTATTTTAATGGGAATAAGTCACAATTGAAGCCAAAATAAATTCATTGACTTTATTGATAATGACAAAGATTAATAAATTTATTAATATTTTAAATTAATTTAATAATAAATTTATAAATAACTTAATGTTTGTCATTATAAATAATGTCAATAAACTTATTTTAACTTCGATTTGTAGCTTATTCCCATTAACATAGTATCTACGTTAAAATGCCACAAGGCAATAGCTTCAGAACAATATTTATTTTTTATTTTGCGTACAGTATATTTAGAACACAAAATTAAAAGCAAAATTTTTATAAAAAACCTTAAATTTAGTATTACAAACGAACATCTAATACTTCAATATAATCTAAAAAATTTTCCGTCTTATTCAGGAATCCCATTTTCTTAGTGTTTTTAATCTGTAATTAGCAGAAAAACCAAGATACTAATATATGAAACTTTTATTAAACCTGTCCTGACATACGCGTCAGAGACATGGACTATGGTAAAAAGCGACGAAGAACTGTTAAGCCGTTTTGAAAGACAAATACTTAGACACATATACGGAGTAGTACAAGAAAGGGGGATATAGCCCAGGCGCTACAATTTTGAGTTGTACCAATGCTATGAAAAATGCAACATCGTCCGGTCTATTAAAATTAATAGACTAAGGTGGCTAGGACACCTCAAAAGAATGGACACTGAAGACTCCCAAAGACAGATACTATATATAGAGCCAATAGGAACCAGGAAGAGAGGTAGGCAAAGATCTAGATTCAAAACTCAAGTCGAAGATGACTTGAGGAATCTAGGGGTCAGAAATTGGAAAGCCAGGGCGAAAGATAGGGGGAAATGGAGACTAATTCTTGAACAGGCCAAGACCCACCCAGGGTTGTAGAGCCAAGGATGATGATGTTCTGGCTAATCTGTAAATATATTACCCTCTTTACCTCTTTACTTCTTTTATTCGAATTCCTTTTTGCTTTTGTTCTGTTTCTGGTAAAATTTCTCGTCTCTGTAGGCTTACTTAGATCTTGTAGTTCTTGAAGTTCTTTTTTCATAGTTTGTCTCTTCTTTCTGCGATGGATTTTCTTTTCTTCCTTGCGAAGTTATTTATATTCCCCCTCTGCTTGTCGGGTTCTGTACTCCTGTTGCATCATTAAATATCCTCTGTGTTTTCTCTCTATTAAAATCTGATATTCTTCGTCAAATCAGTTATTTTTTCTTGTTCTTCTTTGTTTACCTTTTATGAATAAGAATTCTTTAGCTGCTTCTTTCATGGTGTTTCTGCAGCCTTCCCACTTTTCATTTATGTTTTCATGTTTTAGTCTGTTTTCTAGTTTAATATTAATATTTTGTTTATATTCTTTATTTTTGTTTGTATCTTTAAGTCCTTTTTGTATCGTTCATGTTTAGAACCTATTTCCTTTTTTAAATGTTTAAAATTCTGACTTACCCTACTTTCGATCTAGTAGTCAAAAAGGATATAAAATCAATCAAGAAAACTACATCACAACAACATTCAAAAGAACCAATACACTGAGATTTACTATGTCCAAAACCAAACCCAACAACACAACAATTTTTAGGAAAAACAAGTATGAAACATACATCAAAAACAAAGACTTCACAGAGAGAGGGGAACACATAGTGTCAGCAAAATTTTGATCTTAGGCTTCTAGCGATCAACTTTTCTAATTTAAACCATTTAATAACTAATCTTTCGTTATTAGTTGATAAACTTGATAATGTTTAACGAACATTTTTGTTTTTAGGTATCCTGGATCAGACACAGAGATATTCATATCCTCACAGTGGGCAGCTATACATATACGAGCGATCAACGTTTTCAAGCAAATCATCATCCTGAAACAGACGACTGGACTCTGCAGATCAAATGGGCTCAAAAAAGAGATGCTGGTACTTATGAATGTCAGATTAGTACCCAACCGGTAAAAAGTTATTTCGTCAACTTAAATGTAGTCGGTAAGTTTATTTTTCCGTTTTATCGGTGTTTTGTTAAAATGATTTTTTAATTCATTATAATAAGGATCCAAAAAAATAGAATGATGATGATTAACAAACTTTTGATCAGATAGACATTAAAATATTTGTGTATCACTCCTATATTAATTGTTATTGCTATCTTATTCATTTTATAGTAATTTTTTGCGGAGTTTTTTTAAATGCTCTTTATACTTAAAATACTTGAATACACCAAGTTAAGATTTCAATATTTTTTGCTTTTTTTACAGTACCTACCGCTCAGATTCTAGGGGGACCAGATCTACATGTCGATAAAGGTAGTACCATCAACCTAACATGCTCCATCAGATTTAGTCCTGAGCCACCCGCGTATATTTTTTGGTATCATCATGACGATGTAAGTATAGAAGTTTTTTGATAATTGTCACTGTAGTTTTATATTACTGTTCTATTCTAAATGCGATTGTTACTACTCAAATATATAAGTACTGTTAGATTATGATATAAAAATGCTCAAAAACACTTGAATCTTAGGCAAATTTCATCTTTATTATCATTATACTATAGTTGAGCACAATGTATCTTATTCTTTAGGTAGCATTTTCTCTTCCCATGCATAACATAAGCCTTATTTTTGTTTCTAGGGTGAGGTCGTGACTCTTGAACACAGAGAACTCATATGTCATGCGACATTTAATCTCTTGGGTATTGTCCCACGACTCATTGATTACAATTCCCAATTAGTTATACTGTGATACACGTTCAATTCTCATTTGGTTCACATAAAGATTTGCTCCAGTTATGTTTTCTTTGCTGATGATCATTAGCTTGGTTTTGCTGGTGTTGACAGAGAGGAGTTAGACAGGGAGACACGATGTTTCCAATATTGTTTACTCTTGCATTCAAGAAGATGTGTTCACGAAGTTAAATTAGAAACAACGCAGAATTAAAATCGATGACGGATTTTGAAGTTATCTAAGAAAAAAAAATATCAGTCTTTTTATTATCTAAGATTTGCTGATGATATAGTACTCGTAAGTAACAATACAAAGGAACTACTATACATGCTGAAGGAACTTAAACGAGAATCTGGGAAAAACGATTTAAATATGAATTTAACTAAAACCAAAGTAATGGCATATTCTTCTTCTTCAAGTGCCCTGTCCGTTGCGAACGTTGGCTATTAACATGGCAATTTTGATCTTGTTTGCTGCGCTTCTGAATAGTTCGACCGATGTGAGCCCGAACCACTTCCGCAGATTTTGGAGCCACGAGTGTCTTCTCCTGCCTGGCCCTCGCTTACTGTCTATTTTTCCCTGGACAATCAATTGTAGCAGACGGTACTTATCGTGTCTCAATATGTGTCCTAGATATTCAAGCTTTCTTTGTTTAATTGTATTCACGATTTCTTTCTCCTTTCCGATTCTTTGGAGTACCTCTATGTTGGTAACATGTTCGGTCCAGGATATACGAAGAATGCGTCGGTACACCCACATTTCGAATGCTTCTAGTTTTCTCGTTAGCGTCTCCGTCAGCGTCCAGGCCTCCACGCCATACAGCAAGATCGGAAAAATGTAGCATTTAACTATACGTAGTTTTAGGGAAGAGACAAATCCTTGCTTATGAGGAGCTTTTTCATATTGCTAAATGCTGCTCTAGCTCGTTCTATTCTCGCCTTAATTTCTATGGTCTGTTCCCATTTTGCATTTACGTTGATGCCAAGGTACACATAAGATTCTACATGGTCAATTAATATGTTACTTATCCGTAATTGTCGAGCAGGTTGTTGCTTTTTGCTTATCAGCATCCACTTTGTCTTCTTGAAGTTGAGGCTCAGGCCGTATTCCTTACTAACTGAATAAAGTCTTTCCATTACTTGTTGTAATTCGTCTATGGTACTGGCAAGGATCACCGTGTCGTCGGCGTATCTTATATTGTTCGTTAACTCGCCGTTTATTTTAATGCCCTCATTTGCATTTTCCATACATTTGTTAAATATTTCCTCGGAATACATATTGAATAGGAGTGGGGATAATATACACCCCTGACGGACACCTCTTTTGATCTGCACGCTTTCAGTGAGTTCGTTGCCAATTTTTGCTCTTGCTGTTTGACCCCAGTATAGGTTTGCCACAATTCGAATGTCCTTGTCGTCAATACCTGTCTTTCGCAGAATACCTATCAATTGTTCATGATTGACATTGTCAAATGCTTTTCTAAAATCTACAAAGCACAGATACACGTCTTTATCAACGTCTCTACACCGTTGTATAAGCACCTGGAGAGCGAAAATTGCTTCTCTAGTTCCAAGTGCTTTCCGAAAACCAAACTGCGATCTATCAATATTTGACTCACATTTATCATATATTCTTCTGTGAATGATCTTAGTGAACGCTTTAGTGACATGATTGATCAAGCTTATAAGCCGGTAGTCATCACAAATCTGGGCATTTGGTTTCTTTGGGATTGTAATAAATGTTGACTGTAGCCAGTTCTCCGGGATTTTACCGCTATTATATATGTTGTTAAAAAGTACAACTAGATTATCAAGGAACTGTTTGTCTGATTTACATAGGATCTTTAATATTTCGCAGGGTACATTGTCCGGACCTGCTGACTTATTGTTGATGGCTCCGAGATAAGATTTCCATCGCTATCTTTTATGCTGTTGGGTGACTTATTGAATTTCCTCTTGTTTGTCATTGATTTTATTTTTTTGTGCATATTGTAACTGTCGTATTTTCTTCATCCATTCTTTCTTTTTTCGTCGGTCACGCTTTAATAGAGTCGCGCATGTTGTTTGGATTGCTTCCCTCGATTTATCCCATCTCTCTACCGACGTGTTCTCGTTAATGTCCTTTATTTTCTTTTCTAGTTGTTCTCGTACTTTTATTTCGGTTTCTGGGTTAGTGAGTTTTTTAATATCGATTGTGTTTAAATTAGATCTTTTCTCGAGCCGTTTTACTCTCATGACCATTCTGCATACCAACACATTGTGGTCCGTAGGAACATCGGCACCTGGGTACGTTTTTGATGATTTTATCATGTTTTTATATCTTGTTGGTACTGCTATATAATCTATCTGATTTCTAATGATGTTGTCAGGTGAGTCAGCGGGGGATTTCCATGTGTAAAGTCGACGTTTGGGGAGCTTGAAGAGTGTATTACTTAACAACAGGTTATATTCCTGGCAGAAGCATATAAGTCTATAATGGCATATTAAAATATCTAAATGAGAGTGAGATCGAAAGTGTCGAAGAGATTATATATACCTAGGTCACATTGTCAAACCAAGCAAACAGAATCAAACTGCAGAAATCACTAGAAGAATTTAAATGACTTATGCAGCGGTAGCAAGACTCAGTGTTGTATTAAAAACAAACATATATCAATAAATTTAAAGAAAAGTGTATCAAACAGTTGTAGTCTACCAGTTATGACCTATGGAACGGAGATTGTGACACTTACATAGTTATCAGCCACTATATCCAAGAAGGCCGAATGTTGAATATGTCTAGATCAAAACAAAACTGACATTAAATAGCACAAAACAGAAAATATTAGAGAACTTATGGGGAGGTCTTTGTCCAGGAGTGAATGCCAACAAGCTTAAGAAGAATAATAGTATGAGCAGTCCCTGACCATTCCGTTCTTGCATATTTTACATGACCTTTCATTTGTGGTCTGCCTATATTTTATCATTTAGAGTTCTTCTTGACAGTTCTTCATCATCTATTCTCACTACGTGATCATCCCATCGAATGTTTCTTTAAACGATTAGTGAAGTTCATAATTATATCTAGAGTTTCATATTTCTCGTTATTTAGTCGTTCCAAAGATCTTCCTTAAAATTTTAGTTTTTAAAACTTATAATCATCGTTTTGTATTTTCTATCACTACCCATGTCCTAAATTCAAATTCACAATATCCTCTAATTTAGGTATTTGTTTCTTAAATCGCAGAATCCATACAATTATTCTATTTATTATATGTAACATTTTTAAGTGGTTCTAATAAAAACATGCCACTATAAATTTGTTTTATAGGTTATCGCAAAGCGTTCGACAGGGTCAAGTGGCATCACTTATGGCAGATACTAAAAGAAGTAGGCATGCTGTAACACTTAATTTCGCTTATAACTGAACTTAATGCATACTACTGGAACAGTTAAAGTACTTAACACACTCTCAAATTAATTCCATCCAGAACAATGTGTCAGACTAGGATATAATATACTGTCATTACAATTATTTAATATATACGTGGAGCATATTATGAGAAAATCGCTTGAAGGATGGGAAAATGGCATCTCAATAAATAGCCTAAAAATAAACAAGCTATGTTTTGCAGATGACACAGCTCTTCTTGCAAATAGTCAAGAAGAGATCGGTTTGAGGTTATGATCTCATATTTGTTTCTGGAATCATTGATCACAAACACATATTCACTACAGGAAGAAACAAAACGTAAATGTGATCTATCAAAAGTCGATTGAGGAAAATTTTGCCAAAATATAGAAGGACTCTCAAATTTCACGACCTCTAAAGATTCTGCTTAATATTCTCAATGCTGGCATACAGATGTGAATCTTGGACCCTACCATAAGCGGAAAGAAGAAAGATAGACGCCACTGAAATGTTCTGTTGGAGAAGAATGTTACAAATTTCGTGGCCCGACCACAGGACAAATAATTCAATTCTAAATGAGGTAAAAGTCAGCAAACGGCTATCCAGCAAGTCCATCTCCCAACAATAAAGATGCTCTGGCCATTTTGTGAGGGTAGACACGAAAAAATGGAAAGACTTATTATCCAAGGTAATATAGCAGGCAGAAGATCACTGGGAAGATCCCCAACAAGATGGATCGAGTAAATTTCAAGAATATGCCAAGGACCTATCCATTAGTTAAAAGAAATGACCAGAGACAGAGATCTTTGAAGATGGACAATTCACGACATCACAATGACCACTACACTCTCGGGGGGTCAGGATTGAAAAGAGAGAAAAAAAAGCATTTGTAAATCGTAGGCAGGCAAATTAATTAAAATTTTTCTTTATTACTGTTAAATGAAACATAGTAATCTTCCTTGTTTTAATAGGTTATCAGCTATGATTCCAGCCGTGGTGGGGTAAGCGTGATCACTGAAAAGGGTGATGTTACTACAAGTTTCTTACTAATCCAGAATGCTGGTATACAGGACTCTGGAAAATATTCCTGCAGCCCTTCAAATGCTGATGTTGCAAGTATACGAGTTCACGTATTAAATGGTAAGTTCTTAATTTTCACAGATTAAAATTTTTTAAGAAATTACTTACTTGCTTGCCCTTTGGAATTATCAGGATACACAGATTATTCTTGATAGATATGAACTACTCTTGCTACTGCTATTACTACTGCTACCATTACTATTAATTTCTACGAAGTTGTGGAAAGTTATTCTTGGCCTTTGTAATTGTTTTATTCTAAATTTCTTTAGATTTTGTTTATTTGTCAACTTTCTGGTTTTCTTCTAAAAACAGGTAGCATCACAACAGACAATCTAATAACACTTGAATTAAGCATACATGAATTCTTTCTGCACAACCAAAAACTTATTGCCGTATTTTTTGACATAAGAAAAGCGATTGACACAACATGGAGACATCTTTTACTAAAAACACTTCAAGAATGGGATGTTCAAGTGTATATGTTGTCCTTTATTAAAAATTTTCTAGAAACGAACTTTTCGAGTTAGAACCAATGGATTTTCATCTTCTAGACCAGTACTTCAAAACGGTACTCCACAAGGATCTACTCTAAGTCCTACTCTCTTTCTAATTGCAATAAATAGTATTATACATCAAATAAAACTACCTGTATTTACTAGCCTATATGCAGATGGCTTAGTCATTTATCTAAAAACAAATAATGTAACTCTAGGAACACATATACTGCAAACTACCTTACACAAAATTGAAAGCTGGTCGCAAAACACGGGTTTTATATTCTCAAGAGTGAAAAGACACGTTATTTAAGTTTTAGCAAAAGAAAAAATTATCCTAATGTTCAATTAACACTTAATGGAGTTGCCCTGAAACACGCAGAAGAAATAAATTTCTTTGGACTTTCTTTTGAACGTAACTTAAATTGGGAAAGTCACATAACCAATCTGTAACGTTCTTGCAAATCCAGAATTAATCTACTAAAAATGCTGTCAAATACCTCTTGGGGGGCAGATAAAACAACCTTACTTACTCTATACAGATCACTAATACGAAGTAAACTAGACTACGGCTGTTTATGCTACGATACTGCTAACAAAACATTTTTTTAAAAACTTGACTACATTTAAAATATGTGCTTGAGATTAGTTTTAGGTGCCACAAAACTAGTCCAGTAAGTAGTTTACAAGCTCTGGCTAATGAACTGCCCTTAAGCCAACGAAGGCGACTTTTATCACTAAATTACGTTGCCAGCATTTTAGAAAACAACAGCAACGTAACCTACTCAACAATGCTTTGCAGAACAAATATATCGTCCCATCTTTACAGAAACAACAGCAATAAAAAACTACCATTTCCTGAGCGAATAAGAGGTGTTGGTCTTAATTTAGAACACTTCAGTCTTAATATGCCTATTCATGTAAATCTTCCTCCTTGGATGATAAAACCTCCAAAAATAGACACGTCTCTAAAAGAACTACTATAAAAATGTAATATCCAAATACCCAACAACCCATCAAATCTTTACTGATGCATCCAAATGTGATGAAGAACATGCTGCAGTCTACATATACGAAAACGTCAAGTCTACCATACGAATTCTAACAAATTGTTTTATACGTGTAATGAGCCCATTAATTGGAATAAAAGAGCTATATACAACTCACGCCATACTTCTTAAGATCAAAAAATTGTTATCTTATCTACAGACTCAACAAAAATACATTTCCTTCATCAAAGTACCTTCTTTAGTACAGTTCCTCATTAGCATAACTCAGGGATGGCCAACCCGCGGCACGCGTGCCACTCTGTGGCACGATTGACGCTACGCGTGCCACTGATAGGACTTTCAAACTAATCAAACTTTCAAAAAAATTAAAACTTGAAAAACAAAAAATAATAAGAAGAAACTTGGTAGGTTTACAGAAGTTACGATAGATTGGTGCACGTGATCCTAGCTGTCGTAATGTGCAATAGGACTGCGTTACCCTTGCTTAGTTTGTCATCGCGCATTGTTTCTTTAAAATTTTAAAAGTATTTGTTCGATATGTCCACGAGTAAGCCTTCGACTTCAAAACGAAAATACGAAGATGATATTGCAATTCGCGATTTTCAACCTGCTTGGGAAGAACAATTTTTATTTACTAATCGTAATACTTCAAAGCCTGTTTTTTTGATATCTGGATTGTCCGTAGCAGTTCCGAAAAAATTTAACCTGGAACGACATTATAAACAACTGCATAAGGACTTCAGCAACAAATATCCTATTGGTTCACATTTGCGAGCCGACTTTATTGAAAAAAAAAAAAAAACCCTAGCCAGCCAACAGTCACTGTTTCAGAAGAGAAGTGATGAAATGGAAACTATGGTTAAAACATCATATGAACTTTCTCTGCTGTTAGCCCGGAAGAAAAATGCCTACTCTGATTTAGAGGAGATAATTAAAAATAGTCTGGCAATATTTGCTAAAAATGTGGGAGATGTAAAGATCAAAAATATGGTCGATAATATTGCATTATCCCGAAATACAGTCATGCGCCGTATATATGATATGGGCCAGGATGTTGTTTCCCAAATTATAAGTGGATTACAATCCTGCAAATTCTTTTCTTTAGCGTTGGATGAAAGTTCTGTGACAACACAGAAAATGGGCAGTTAAGCATTTTTGTCCGTTATACCAATGATAATTTTGAAAATGCCGAAGAGCTTCTGAATTTGCGCCAACTAGTCACAACAACAGGAGAGGACATTTTTCAACAGCTTAAAACGTAATCGAAGTCAACAACGTTGAATGGTCAAAATTAGATAGTGTTTGTACAGATGGAGCTTCTTGCATGGTTGGTAGACTAAAGGGGTTTGTTACATTACTGGAAAATATTTGGGAAGAAAAGTTTTTAAGTACCATTGTATTATTCACCAGGAAGCTCTTTGTGCCAAGGACCTAAACATGTCATCTGTTGTTGACCATGTAACACACTGCATTAACAAAATACGAGCTCGGGCATTGAATCGACGACAATTTCGAGAACTGTTCCCGGAAGAAACGGAGCAAGATGGAGAGTTACTTCTCCATTGCAGTGTGTGCTGGCTCTCCAAAGGAAATGCACTCGAAAGGTTTTGGAACTTGAAGGAGTGCGTCTTAAAATATTTGCAAGAAAACAATGAACTACCCAGTGAGTGCTCGTTACTTAATGATAAAGATTGGCTTTGGGATTTAGCTTTTCTCACTGATATTATGAGACATTTAAATCTACTAAATTTAAGATTACATTTAATTTAAGATTACATTGTATTTTTCCTACTCTAGTTGGTCATATATCTTCTTTTGTGAATAAACTTATGCTTTTTTGTAACGATTTTGGAGAACAGAGATTGACACATTTCACATTAATGCAGGAATTAGCCAACAAGGTCAGTAGAACTCCAAATTGTGACAGATTTAAAAACCTTATATCTATTTTGCTAGGTTCATTCAATACTCGGTTTGAAGATTTTCAAAAAGACAAAATGAAATGAAATACAGATCGAAATTGTTTATTTACAAAACCACTAGTAAAGTAATACAAAACCTATACTAAAAACCAAATATAAGGAAATTATTTCAACTGTTACTGATCCCAATTATATTGAATTTTGGAAATTTGTATCAGCAAACAATTTTCCTAATTTACACGAGTTAGCTTTGAGATATTGTTGTAGATTTGGTTCAACGTACGTTTGTGAGCAAATGTTCTCTATTATGAACATAATAAAATCAAAATATCGGTCACGATTAACTGACATGCATTTAAAAAATCTAGTTCTGTTGGCTAGTTCCGAAATTAATCCCAATATAGATGAATTAATTAAAAAAATACAAGTTCAAATACCACATTAAATAAGTAACTGTTTAATAATTTAAATTAATTTAGATAATAAGAAAATATTTAAGTTTTTTTGTTTAACGTTTTTATTTTATTTTTATTAACAATAAAGTAAGTTTGTTGATATGTTTTACTTATTACGTTATTTTTTAAACCTCCACTATCTTGACTAAACGGAAAAATGTGGAATTTACATAAGAAATACATATTGTACCGTATATTATTAATATATAGTATCCATATTAGTATGTCGAAAAATTTTAGTGGTACGCCAAATTTTTTTTGTTCTCATATTGGCACTCGACTTAAAAAGGTTGGCCACCCCTGCCATAACTGGTAATGAGGAAGTGGACTCTCTGGCAAGCAATGCAACAACCGACCAAAGTATTACTGTCGTAAATCAAATGCCCTGGACTGATCACAAAGTAAATATCAAAGCTCATAACTGTCAAGTGTCCAGTGTACCAGAACGAAAGAATCGCGTGTGCCCTTAGTGGCAATTTAAAAAATGTGCCAACCTCAAACCTACCGTCTTTATTAAGTTATCTTAAAGTGACTAAACTATATACCACATTGTAAAAAATATTTTTTTATATAACAATATGTATCTTACTGTTTGTGTATGTCCCCCTGGTAATAACGATATACCTCCATAAAAAAGTAATAGAAAATTTAAGATTTTATAAACGAAAGGATAATTGATTTAATATTTAAAAATTTTAACATAAATAGCTAAAACTACTTCATTACGAATATTTATGTAAATACTAACATATCTTTCTTTTAGGTGAAATGCCAGCTGCAATGCAAACAGGCTCTGCTGGATTGTCCAACAGCTCATTCAACATCTTCGCTCTCATCATAGTTTCTTACATATACACATCCTGCTATTTTAGCAACCTTGATATAAACCAAGGAAGTTGAAGGTTTTTATCTATGGGAAATATTAATTTGTAAATAACTGGGTATTCTTCTTAATCTTAAGTAAATCATTGTTAATGTAATCTGTTTTTTCGGAATATCTCTTAAAAATAAAATACTAGTGGGAATATTTTAGAGGGGATTCTTGTTGACAGGGTATATGTTATTATATTTAAAAGCAACCAGTTGATTGATTTTAAAATATTTTTATTTAACACGTTCTATAAAAAAGCACAGCTTTTTTTAACTGCAGTAATACACATTTATGAAAAAGTATTAATTTAATTCCACGTACTATCTAGAGTGGTTAACATAAGGTAGTGAAGCAGAAACTCCAAGAAAGCAAACCGATGAGAAATTTACCAAGACAAAAAAAATAATAAACGAATGATAACATATCTTACTAACACTTTCCAAGTTACTTTCAAACAGTAGACAGCAATGGTTGATGTATTTTTTCCTTAAAGGAAATAAACCCCATTTTATATAGTTTAAGATGTATCTGATTTGTAATAGCATGATACATATATTTGGTTCTTTGTAAATAACTCTAATGTTATAGCCAAATGATACTCAATCTGCTAGCATGTGGCATCATCATTGTAGATTGGTATGGGGAGTTGTGTGTCCTGCGGAAGAGGTCGTCTTTAGAGGGCGGTCAGAGGAGAAACAGCTTGGATGTTGAAATGGGTTTTTTCGGATTTGTTTATTTAATTGAATATCTGAATAAGTTGAATAAATTAATGATATAGTTTTATTAAATTGTTGAATTTATTTCGAGTTGAGCGGAACTGTGGCTGTATCCTACTTGTGGACAGGTATAATTGTGCAATGGGATCGATAAACCACAGAAAACCGATCCCTACATGTCTGTGTGCAAAGGTCGAAGTGACCTATTTATCTGAGTATTCGGAAAAACAGTCCAGTTGCCTCCAGGGTGTCGAGGTATTCAGTAAGGAGTTTGTGGATGGTAGAAGTCAGCAGTTTTGTAGGGAGGAAACGTAAGGTGTCTGATGAATATATTGCCGAAAGATGAGCAGGTAGTTATGAGTGGTATTTTGGGTTCTGAACTTTCGGCCTCTGATAGTTTGTAACGTAGAACTTATGCACAGAGAGTCTTCTCTGGATGTTCGATAGTTGATATATTAGGGCAGGAGAGTAGTAGGTACTCAATCTGATCTCTGAGTTGAAGTCGGTCCCCCATAGCCTCAGGTCAATTCTTTCTTCAGCATTGTGTGTAACGTGGTCGATAAAGTTGGAATATCTAAAGAGTATGACTTGAGTTTTATTAGAATTTAGCTTTACTGTCCCACACTACCTATCTTTTAAGTGATTTTGAGCATGTCTTCTGGCGACACCTATATCTCGAGATGTTATTATGAAACCAGTATCATCTGCATAAAGTAGTATTAATGTATTCATGTCTTGTGGGCTGGAGAAGTCTCTATTGTATATTGTGTAGTGTATGGGTGCCAAGACAGAACCTTGTGGTACTCTTGCCGTAGAAGTAAAGAGTGTTGTAAATTGACCATTGACAAAGACATATGAGTGTATTAATCCAACAAAGTAGATGGACAAGCCGACGTTCAGAAGTTTCTTCACTAGTCCGGCATGCCAAACTTGGTCATAGGCTTTCTTAACATCAATAAAAATGCCGAAAGAAATTTTTTTATTATTAAACTTTTGAGTGATATGGGTGACGATTTTAGTCAAAGCGGTTATCGTTACCTTATCTAAAGCCGAACTGAAATGAGGGAATAATATTTTTTCTGTCGTAAAGAGTACGAGTCTTTCTTTAAGGATCCTCTCGAAGACTTTAACCATAACATTTGGTACCAAAAATCATGTTGGCTATTTTCCAAGGTGATAGAAAGTAGCAGAGTTTGAGTGATGCAATAACTATGTTCGTCAGGTAGATATTTCACGAAGTTCATGAGAATTTTGTCAGGACCTGGTGAATTGGAGTTTTTGGATTCAAAAAGGTCCTAAGAGGATGTTTATTGGGTACTTATGGGTGGAAAGGGACTTCGGGCTGTCGTTGTGTATATCTCTCAGTAAGTACACGGAAGGCTTGGTCAAATATAAGATTGCTTGGGCTGGTGAATATATTTTGAATGTGCGTTTTGAAGACTTCTGAGGACTGGTGGTCTAGCAGGATTTATAACTTTATTGGGGATGCATTTGGCACCTCTTCATCACTCCCTTTGCATCTTTCCACAATTGGTAAAAGGCCACGGTTTTTTGTTGTTTAATATCATATTATTTTCTAAACAGCTTTTTCAAAAAAAAATAACTTAATTTAATATCTTTCGTAAATAGAACTTTTCGTGTTATAAAAATATTTTAGAATATTCATCTTGTTGTAGAAATTATATTTTTTGTTAAATCTGTACGAAAATTTTTTGTAGAGTATTGTATCGGACTTTACATTGACATTTTTCAGTGAAATCTTTGTAAAGTCATTATCAACTGTAATGATGATGAAAACAGTATTATTGTTTATATTTAAGATATTTGTATATATATATATATATATATATATATATATATATATATATATATATATATATGCGTAAAAGAAGTATCAGTTATCAGATTTTCGGTCAGAAGTAAAAATTTTACATTTTTTTTAGTCTGAATATTTTGCCAATTAGATATAGATTTGACAATTAAATAAAGCTTCCTTCAGGAGTACATTATAATACGAGCAACAAATAAACAAAAAATGTAAAATGGTAAACTTACTTATAATAATATGCTAGAACATAACATGATATGATATGACGTATTACACAAATATTTACATCAGACTGAGAGAATTATTTAAAAAATATATACTTATTAAAATATAAAACTACATATTTTGATCAAAATTGCTATTTTAATATAATATTTAAAATAAATCAGCATTTACAAGTTACATGTACATGTGCAGCAATTTAATCAAATTTCATTATCGATAGCACAGGCCCTGAGGCACATTTTGACTTATCCAACTGATGTAGAGTAAGTGTGACCTGAGGCACACTTTTACTATCAGAGTGAAAGCAACTTTGCCGGGGTAGTGTAAATAAATAGCTTTAATATATGCTATATAAAGCATTTATTTTCAATAGGACATACGTAAATGTAACGGTAAATACTATTTTCCCCCTTTTATCTACTGTAGTATAGGGTAATTATATAAACATGTCATCTTCATTGATTACTCTTTTATCTTCTACAACAGGCCAATGAAATGTAAATGTCTTACTGAGCCGCCGATAAAATTTTGCCTCTAGGCATGGTTCTTTTTCTGTTAGCTGACCTACATACATTTTTAACTGTTTCTTCTTATTTTATGTAACCACAATCCAATCATCTACGTTTACTTTTGTCAAGAAGCCCAAATGCATTTGATCGAGGAACATAATTTTTTTATTCCTTTCTTCAACTTTGTCTATGGTAGAATTACTTGAAATGCTTCGTTTATATCTTCAATACTATCGTCATCACTGCTGTCTTCTTCAAATAAGAATCTTTTTCGTCCACTTTTTCTGCTTATATTTATTTTTGCTTTAAATGTTCTCTTTTTCTGATTCTTCCGTCATCTTCGCTACCCTTATCCTCAGCTATTTTTTTTTAATCTTTTATATTTTGATGGGTTTTTGAAGCTGCTAGTTTTGGATTTATTCCAGTTTAGCAATAGCGTCTTCTGAAGTGATCACTTCTGCTCCAGAGCTGATACTGTTTCTTCCGGTGGTAGTTTTTGATGTTTATTTGTTTTATTTGCTGCGCCACTAAAATTCCACTAAAATGTTGAGGTTCTGCCTTTAGATACACTAACTTCGTTTGCGATTGTGGTTCTTGTGGGTACTACAACTGTTTGTGACAAGATCCAAGCAAATAAAAGCATAGGGAGGCGTAGAATGTCATAGCTGCGCAACCTGATAGAGTGGTACGGATGAACATCAAACGAACTTTTCAGAGTAGCCGTCTCAAAAATCCGAATAGCTATGATGATTGCCGACCTCCGCCGCGGAGATGGTACTTTAAAAAGAAGATACCTAAAACTGCGTAGAAAAAAGTTATAGAACAATGTTGGCAAAAAATAGGAAAAATGGTGACAAACTTTGAAATATCGTTTCTCAGATGCTGTGAATTGTAAAGAATTCTACCAAACGTCTTTTTTAAGAAGAAATATAGAAGTTTTGTTTTTTTAATGCAATGCCTATACATATACCCTCATGTAAAAAGTTTATCTGGTAAAAACATCACGTTTTTCCGTGTTTTTTTGCTTTGTTTTTTGAATTTATTTTTGCAAAAAAGATTATTTTTGACTTTAAAAGGTGAAACTTAGATAGTAAAATTTATTTTGAACAGCTTTTAAATGGTAGCACTCCGCGGTTTTTTATATGCGGGGTCCATTGGCTATATGAAACGATAAAACCCCTAAAACGTTCTAGTTATTTTCTTAAGTGCATAATCAATAGTCTACAAGGATTGACAGTTTGTTGAACATTTTTAGCATATTTAGGCCCATATATGGAATTACACAAATTATTTTATCAACATATTTTTTTAGAAGAGCAATATTAAAACAAAGTAGTTCTGATGCTGTTTAATAAATTACGTAACACAATCAATAATAAAATAGAACTTACCGGGTTTTCAATAACAACAATAAAGAACGTTTGTTAATAGGAAAAAAATGTTTTAAAAATAAATGAATAATTAAGTACAAAAATTCAATTTAGATAGTGTTTAATATTTTTCTTTTTTTTATATTCTTAGCAAATGATGCTGATTAATAAATATTTTAAAATATTCATGAACACTGATGAAGTTAATTATTAGAGAAAAAGAAAAATTGTGTTTCGTTTCTGATCGAAAACCTGGTAAAAAAAAACTTCTAATATACTAGATGGTCGTTATAGCCCAGGCTGTGAGGGAAAAAGTACTCTCTAATCCAGGAATTAATGTAATGTGGCCTAGGTTAGAAAGGGCAAACTCAGGAGCAATCC